GATTTTTTCTTCCATCTCAAAGAGCTTGCAAAGAAAGAGTTTCAAGAGAATTATCATAAAGAGAAAGAAAGTGTTTAACAGGAAGGGGAAAGAGAAACGGGTAACAAAAAGGGGAGTAGTAGGAGGGGAAAGCTTTATTTCATATTGATAAGTGGAAAAAATAATGTCTGGTGGAATAAGAGAAAAGAGAGTTTTTAGGCTTGGAGTAAATCACAGAGATTTCTGAATATTTTATGGCTGCATCCGCCAGAATGATCGATCTTGAGTGAAGTTGTTTAGGTAGTTCTAGCCGTCAAAACTGACTGTATGCTGTTACAATGGCCACTCATTTTCAAACCATTAAGATTATTTTTGTCGGGTCGTTGTCAAGTATATGGAGCTTTTGTAAGATTGTATTTGATTCAGCAGAATCGTTTCAGTGATGGAGAGTCATATAGCTCTACTGAGGGAAGTAGATATTTTTCTGTGGGCTTTTCTTGTATAAAAACTCTGCCAAAAAGCTTTTGTACTCAATGCAGTCATTTGTAATGATAGAGTAAGATATAAGAAGGGGTCGGGAATGTTCATAGGAAAAATGTTGGAGAATTAAGGCAAAGAAGTTGTGATGGTACTCGGCCACTCTTGAACTCGTCTATTGTCCGTTGCCGCTGAGCTGTATTGTCGTTAGAACATATATGTTGTATCTACAATTAATTTTATCTTATCATATGGTAACATATTCCAGCGATTTCAGACTAGGCACCTTCTCTTCTCTAATCGTTCCTTACTACCCAGTTTCTGATTTCTTTTCCAATCCGCAGCTGCATTATTTCCATGCTAATGTCGCTGAATATGTTCTTTTTTTAAATTCATATCTTTATCAGTTAGCATGTTACCTCTTTCGTTTATCATTCCGTATCTTAACATACATGTATTGTTTTTGTTTGACGGTATTCGTCAATAAATTTTTTTAGCTGAGAAAATGTTACGGGATTCACTGCGTTTTGCTCATATAGAGACAGGCGTGCTTATACTTCATAGATCAGCAGAAATTTCATTTCATCCAAGTTTTTTTTTTCGCGAATGTGGTTACATTGTCATGCCCCTTTCACCACTTACAATAGGTTTGAGGACATGCATAGCATTACGGAAAAACTATGTTTGAACGGCATGGTCTGCTTATAGGAGACATTTCTGAACCATGTTCTTTCTGGAAATATTTGAATGTGA